GGCTGTGGGCAGTACCGCCCACCCCACCCTCCACCCCTGCACCCTGCAGCCCAACGCCAACCTGCTGGAGATTTGCTACAAGGACCGGATCCAGCAGTTTGATGACGACGAGGAGGAGGGCCAGGGCTCTGGGGAGTCTGATGGGGAGGACGGCGCCTGGCACAGCAGCCAGCTGGCCAGGGGGGCCCGCCTGGGCCAGCCCCCGGGTGTGCGGTGAGTCCCGCTCCCACCCCCTTTTCCAGGAGCAGTTCTCATTGGCTGAGTGAATGAGAAATATGGGAGAATGGAGTGTGTGTGTTAGTTGGGGCATTCTGAATTCTGAGTGATAGAAACCCAGTTCCAGTGGGTTAAGCTACAACAGGCATAGGGTATCAGCTTGTGTGTGGCTGGAACATGAGGCTCCTTCAGGTCTGGCACGATCCAGGTGCATCTGCAACCAGTATCACTCCTTCACCCCTTGACTCTGCTTCCCAGTGTGAGCGCTTATGCAGGTATTCCTCATGATGGGGTAGGATGGTCCCATCAGCTTCTCCTCCTAATTTCAGTAAAATGACAGGTGTGGGCCATCCCTTCATCACAGGCCCAAGGTCAGGAAGCTGTGACCAGCCCTTTGTGCCAATGTTGTGTTATTTGTCTCCATACTGGCTGGCCCAGCATCACTGGCCATGTAGGTTTCCTACTGGGGACAACTCAGTGCTTGCGGCAGCCTCTGCCCCTGGAGCTTCTGATTGCAGGACTAGAGGGTTTTACCTCTTTAACAGACGTATAACAAGCGCAGAGGCGAGTGTGTGAATCCTGAGTGTGTGGCCACATGGGACCATCCCCGCACCCCGGAGGCTGCTGCCTGCCCTCTGAGGGTGCCGCTGTCCTGGCGTCTTCTCTGTAGATGGGTGTAGATGGCTGTGGCTTTTCTGCTTGAGAGGCCCTCGTTGCAGTGGGTGTGGTGGGCTCATTGGCCCTCAGGTGTCCAAGGTCGTGGTTCACCCATGCTCTCCTAAGTTTGCATCGCTAGCTCTCACGGTGACATCTGACCCATTCTGAGTGGGGCGGGGTCCAACTTTGTTCCCTTGCTGTGGGATGCCGCTGTCCCAGCAGCACTGTTGAGGGTACTGTCCTTTCCCCACACTGGTCCTGGCACCCTTGCTGGCAGTCACTGGACTGCATGCAGGGTTTATCTCTGTCCTCTCTCTCCTGGCCCCTTGGCCTGGACATCCCTCTGTACGCCGGGACTACCAGTCATGGTCACTGTTGTGTTGTAGTGTTTTGAGATTGGGAGATGTGAATCCTGCCGCTTCGCTCAAGGTTGTGTTGACTATTGGGTCCCTTGAGATTCCCTGTGAGTTTTGGGATCAGCTTGTTGGTTTCAACAAGGGAGCAGGCTGTGCTTGCTGATGGGGCCTTGAGCCCCTGCTTGGGGGCGTGTGGCTGTTGGAACCGTCTCCTGTCTCCTGGTCTGTGAGCGTGGACTGTTTCCATAGGTTAGGCTTTTTAAAAAGTATGTATCTTTATTGATTTCAGAGAGAGGCAGGGAGAGGGGAAGAGAGAGAAACATCAGTGATGAGGGAGTCACTGATCGGCTGCCTCCTGCACACCCCCAACAGGATGGAGCCCACAACCCGGGCCTGTGCCCTGACTGGGAATCGAACCACAGTCTCCTGGATCCTAGGTTGATGCTCGACTGCTGAGCCACGCCAGCCGGGCAGGGTTGGGCCTTGTTAATGTTCAGTAGTGTTTTGTAGTATTCAGAATACGTTTTATGCTGCTTTTGTTAAAGTTACTCCTAAGTGCTTTATTCTTTTCGATGGAGCTGTGAGTGGAATTGTCTTCCCGGCCATTCTGAGACTGTCGCAGTGTACCACCCGCAGTAGGTTTTTGGATGCCGACCCTGCGTCCTTGCTCTCGCAGAACGCACTCCCCTGATGGTTGTGTCGATCCCCAGGATTTCCTCACGCAGAGTCGTGCAGTCTGCAGTTAGTTTACTCCTTTCTCTGTTCTGGGTGTTTTTTGTGTCACTTTCTTGACCACTTGCCGTCCAGGATGGTGTGGAGCCAATGTGGGAGGGGCCGTCTGGTTCCTGATTTTGGGGGACTGGGTGTGGTGCGAGTGGTGAGTTTGGAGCTTCCCTTTTGGGTTCAAGAAGCTCCCTTCTGTCCCCCGTTTGCCAAGTGCCTGGTGTATTTTCGGTGATGAGCAGATGCACTCCTGTGGGGGTGGGGGTGGGGGTGGCCCTCGGCATGTGCTCGGCCTTCTTGCCGGGGGGCAGTCGGGCTCTGTCCCAGGTCTCAGCCACGTTAGCATGGCCCCACGTGCCAATGTTGCTCTCGGCCAAGGACACAGTGGTGACAAAAGTCCCCTGAGTTTGTTGTTGGGGGAAGAGTCCCCCCGCGAGGTCGTTTGTGCAGGAGGGTCTGTGAGGGAGACGGGTGGCCTTCCTGCCCTGGTGCTGGCCTGGTGCTGTCACACTTGGGCCCGGGCCGACCTGCCTGTCCCCCGTCACCTGTTGCTCCCTCGTCGACAGGCCTGGGGCTGGGAGGTGGGCAGGCGCCTCCCGCTCGGCCCTGCCCTGCAGCTCACGCTGGTATCCGGCAGGAGCGGAGGCAGCACCGACAGCGAGGACGAGGAGGACGAGGAGGACGACGGGGACGACGGAGACCAGGACGAGGGGGAGGATGGGGAGGACGGCCCGGCGGATGGCCAGGACGGCCAGGCGGCCCGCGGTGGGGCCGGGCCCTCCCCTTTCCCCAGCCCCGGCCCCCAGCCTCCCGGTGAGTGACTGTCAGGGTGGGCGTGGTCGGGGTCGGCGCTGCGCCGCCTGCCCACTCACCGCTGCCCACCTCTGCCCCAGGCCCCGGCTGGACAGCCGCCTTCGACCCAGTGCCTGCAGACACCCCCACCAGCCCCCGGGGCTCGGGAGGGGAGGAGCCGTGCGCTGGGCTCCCCACCCCTCCAGGGCCCCTCGGCGTGCCCCAGGGCCTCCCTGCCCCAAGGCCTGCCAGCCCTGCCCTTGGCACCCCGCAGCTCAGGTGAGGCTCAGAGGGGACACAGGGATACGGGCACCCGTCCTGGTTCCCTTAGGCTCTGGGGCCAACCCAGCCACCTCCTTGGGCTGCTTCTCTTGCCTTCCAGGTCCCAGGACCCCACACCCTCCTCAGCACCTCAGGAAGCCTCAGACAGCGGCAAAGTAGCGGAGCCCTCAGGTCAGCCATTGCCCACCCTGCCCACTCCATGCCCTCCACCCTCTCCCTCTGTCCCCAGGCCTGGAGGAGCTCGCTGAGTCCCATGTCTTGGGCCTCTTTCTCCCACACAGCCCCCTGCCAGGCCTTGGTCAGCTTCAGGGACTTCCAGGCCACCCTCAGAGAGACAAGCTCCGTCCCCAGCTCCTTGGACAGGTAACCTGCTGGGGAGCAGCTTCTGGGCAGCCTTTTGGGGGAGGTGAATAAAGCCTGGCCTTAGGATTATCCCAGGCCCCAAGCTGCTCCAAGGGGCCTCTGTAGGAACCGCCAGGGGTGTGCCTGTGTCACACAGGATCCTGGATCCCACGCCACCAGCTCAGTCCATGGGCAGGAGGGCGGCTCCCTGAGGACCAGGAGGGGACAAGGAGCGTGCAGAGCCATGTCCCAGTCACCCTGGAGTTCCTTCTAGGCCCGATCCTGGGGTCTGGATGTGAGGCCCTGGGCTGTGCCCTGCATCCCTGCTCACAAGGCTTCCTTCGAGGGCTCCAGCAGGGTATAGGCCACTGACCCCACCCATTCCCCACAGGGCAACCGGAGACCCTGCTACCTCTGTCCCAGCCCCTGGATTCCCCCCACCTCCCCAGACCGTGGAGAGGGAGAAGAGCCCAGAGCCCTTAGGGCTCCCCCAGAGCCAGAGGTGAGCATGGGGTGGCCTCGCTGCTGGTGGGGGGGTCATTGTGGGAGGAGGCACGGACCTCTCATGCCCTCTTTCCTGACAGTGCCCAGACCCTCCAGCTGCCTCCAATGCCCAACGGCTCTGCCCAGGGAGGGCCAGTTTCCCCAGGCTCCCAGTGAGTAGCAGAGACCAGGAGGCTGGGGGGGTGGCCGGCTGGCCGGCGCCTCACTCCGTCTCCCTCTTGGTTCCCAGGTGACTGCCTGGTTCTGGTGATGGCGGCTGAATCCTCACCCTGTGCGTGGACCCTGCCTGGGCGGGGTCAGGGTGGGTCCTGCGATGGCCTGTTGCCCTGTCACCCCATCCCGTCTTCATCCCCACCCCCATGTTCTCTCCTCTGGGCTCCAGGAGGCTGGTACCAGGGAGACAGGCCCCACCCACCCCCATTTGCACTGAGAAAAGAAATGATGGAGTTTTGTGTCCTAGAATAAAGATATAGAGTCTGGTAGAGAGACAGGTGAGAGAGAGACAGAGAGAGGCTTATATTATATATTATATGTGTGTTGAGGGAGGAGGGGTAGGAGAAGAGCAAGAAGGAAGCCAGGCCCTGGGGCAGCGGGAGGGAGGGGGGTGGGCCTTCACCCCATCCCAGCAGGGCTGCGTTGGGGTCCCCTAGATGCTGCCCACCCTCCCCTCCTGCCATGCCCACACCCACACTTGGCCTTTCAGCTCATGTCTACCTGGAGGGCCGAGTGGGGCCGTGCCTTTGCCCAGCCCCACATCCGGACCCTGCACTTTCCCTGGGGCTGGGAGTTAGAGGACTCTCCGCCTGGCCCAGTGGTTCTGGGGCTGGGGTCCCCATCTGAGGGCGCCTCACTGGTGACATTCCCATGAGGCCCTGATACACTCATGAGACCCCTGCGCCTCCCACACACCCTGTGGCAAGGGGTTAGGGGGTCCGGCTGGGGTCCCCTCCAGTGCCTGAGGTCTAGGGTCCAGCCAGCTGCCAAGTGCCCTTGTCCCAGCTCCTCCTCGGGCTGGTGAGTGCACGCCCTGCGAGCTTCTGTTTCATATTGCAGATATAATAAACAAAGGAGGACAGTTTAGCTCCTGCTGCTCAGACCTTGAGTTCTGGGGTGTGGGGTGAGGCGCCTGAGTATGGCCCGGCCTCGCCTGGGACCTGGTCACGAGAGCCGTCGCCACGGGTCCCTAGTCGCCCCAGCCCCTGTGTCTGCCATGTCTACCATTCAATCCTCATTTGCCTGGCCATGGAGGGGACCTTGCAGAAGCCACATGTCCCAACCCCTCTCCTCTGGTGGAGCAGAGAGTGATGGGAGGTGGGTCACCAAGGAAGCCAGACTGGCCTGTGGTGTGCCCAGTAGGTCCATACCTTCCAAGGGGGAAGTTGAACAGATGGAGGGCATTCACCAGACATGCACTCACCAGACCCTCGTGGGAACCCTGCCATGTCCAAGGCTGGGCCATGGGCTGGTGGTGACCTGCCACCAGGAGGGCTGTTGTCATTGGCACTTGTTATATCAGGAAGTGTCCCTGAGGAGGCCCTGGGGTGGTGCAGGGTGGTACAGGCTCCCACAGGGAGGGAGGCCCAAGTGTAGAAGGACCCCGTGGCAAGGGGGGAGGGGTTTTTGTCCTGTCCCTTGCTCTGGGTGGTCCTCCACCGAGCACAGGATGGTACCCATCCCCCGGGAAAGGAGAGCGGGGACTGTAAGGGGCATGTGGTGGAGGGGCAGGAAACCAGGGGGCAGGGGCACCTTATCTGCAGGTGCCAGGCAGGGCTATCCCTGGGTAGGGCGGGGGCAGCATCTCCCTGGGCTGCTATCAGTCCCAGAGTCCACAGGACGCTCCTGGGTTAACGTGTAACCACACTGTTCTGCCACCCCCAAAGCCATTGGTGCCCACACACAGGCCACTGTGGGGGTCACAGGCTGACATGGACGCCCGGAAAGAGGGGCTGCCCCGAAATCCTCAATTCTCAGCCCAAGTGAGAGCCCCCCAAGTGTGGGAGAGGGGCTGGGCCTGGGTGCTGAGCAGGCTGGAGGAATGGGGGATCCTGGCCTCCCAAGAGGAAGGGTTCTGGGGTGACTGGGTGGAGGTGGGGAGGCCAGGTAGGGCCTGACCTCCGGGGCTGGGGGCTGGGGGCTGGTGGGAGCCTCA